CCCCCATTCTGTTGATGTGCGGTTTTCAGGATCCGGTGTTCCGAGTGCGAAAAGCGACGGCGTTAAATCTCGACAAGATCTGCAAGGTTGTGGGAGAAGCGGGGATCGCAAGGCTTTTGCCCGCGTACGTTCGACTTACCAAGGACGATGTTTATCGGGTGAGCATTGCTCCTGCGTATGCTGTCTTTTCATCTCTATTGCGTGTTTCCTCTTTACATAACTCTCGTGGAACAAATTTGATACCATATTTTTATAATTTTTGCATATTTCCCGTTTGCATAACTTCTGTGCAACAATGGTTATGCCATCTTCTTATCTATACTGCGTATTTCCTCTTTTCATAACTCTCGTGGAACAATTTTGATGCCATCTTTTTATATTTTCTGCGTATTTCCTCTTTGCATACCCGTCAACGATGATACCGTATTTTATCTCTTGTGCAAAATTTCTGTCAATAATCCAGGTACGGAAAGCTTGCACGGAGGCGATGGTGGAGATGAGCAAGGCTGTAGGGTCAGAGGTGGGTCGCGAGCGGCAGCATCAGCAGCAGCATCAGCAGCAGTAGCGCGCTGTGACTGCTGTGGTTGACTGCTTTTCCAAGGTTTCGGCCTGCCCTGCCTGTGCTGCTGCCATCACCCACACCCTGCTGCTGCGCTCAACCGTTCCTTTTCCCCTCTATTGTTTGTTTACTGTGATGTGTAGTGTCTTGTCGCTTGGCGCGCTTGCCCGACCCCAAGAGCCTTCAGCACAGCACCGGAGCAAGCCATTTCCCTATGCCTAACCCTGATCCTTACAACCCTGCTAACATCAACCTAAGCTATGTCCAACTCTATTAACCCTACCTGACCCTAACCATCGCCGTCAGAATACCCTAGTAGCCCGACCCCAGTTGATATCGCTAATGAACCTACTACCCTTTGCCTAATAGACCTACTACCTTGGCCCTAGGTGAGCTTGCGGGAGCTAACGCCGGTGTTCCTCAACCTGGCCTCGGACTCTTCCAAGCTTGTCCGAACGGGGGCATTGCAGCACCTTGGCAGGCTTATCTCCACGCTGCCGGGAGAGTCAGTGAGCGAAGACCTCGTGAGGTACTTCACGGGGACCGCGGTGGAGAGCATGGGAGACCCGGTGGTGAGCATGGGAGACCCGGTGGTGAGCATGGGAGACCCGGTGGTGAGCAGTGCAGCGGTAGTGCTCCGTCCGTCTCGCTTGTTGTCTTTGTCATATGTTTGGCTTCGTAACGAAAGACGTCTGAGTATGATTTTTTGTTATCCTCAATAACATGACGCGAAAAATTGTAGACGTGGGGATGGCATCTAATTGTGTGCGTCGACAGACACCACCTGCTTTAGCGGAGATCCATCCATTCGCCGGTAATCAATGTCTTGTTCCGTGTGGTTGTTAATGTGCGGGAGGTCTAGTGTCGTGGACAACTTCATCTCAACTTTTTCCACGTCCTCAAGACGAGACGGTTGAACGCCGCCATTTTCGACACCGTCACCGTTTTGGTGAGAATGATCTGGAGGTGGTATCTTGGGCGACACGCGGTTTGGCGGGGGAGCATGCGTACACCAGACGTTTGTCTGTTTCACTGTCGTCAATAGATATTTCCCTTCGTCATATGCCACCGCTTCCCCTGCTACTCTGCTGTTCTCAACGGAGACTTCCCTTCTGGATGCACCCCTCCCTCTGCTGCTCTTTCTTTGTCAAGTCTACGTTCCCGTTCTTGATGCCACAGCTTCCTCTGGTCAAATCGACGTTTCACTTATTGGTGCACCGCTCCTTCAGCTGCTTTTATTATTCTGTTGGTGTGTACCCTTCTTGATGGCACCGCTTGCGTCTTTTTCTCAATTGATGTTGACCCTCCTGATGCCACCGCTTCCTCTGATCCTCTTATTATTCTCAGTTGGTGTGTACCCTTCTTGATGCCACCGCTTGCAATTGTTGTTCTTCTGTCCTCCATTGCTGCTTACCCTCCTGATGCCACCGCTTTCTCTGCTCCTCTCCTTTTTGTGGATGCCAGGCGGATGCGGAGTTGCGATTGTACTGCGCCTTTTCCTTCCCAGCGGTCGCCATCACCATTGGCCCTGATCGATGGCACGAGCTTCGCGAGTCGTTCGCCGCGCTCATCCGAGACCCTAGCTGGTCCGTCCGCAAGACCCTCAGCTTTAGCCTGCATGAGGTGTGCTTCACCCTCTACCTCTGGAGTTTGTGGTCGTTGTTGTTGTTGTTGTTGTTGTTGTTGTTGTTGTTTCGCATAAATTCCCCATCTCCATTCCCCTGGGGCATCTCTATCCTCTCTCCGCAGATTGCAAAGGTTTTGAAGGCGGATGATGTGGAGGGCGATCTCGTGCCTGCGATGGAGGCGTTCTTGAGGGACATGGAAGACGTGAGTGCCCCCCCCCCCTGCTAGTACGGAGCCCCCGGAACTGTTGTTTCCGTAGTGTGTCTTCGGGATGATCCAAGATTCACGAAATACGAAAGTGGGTTTGCCGCATCCCCCCCTCCCCCCTCCCTCAATGGCCTGATTTGTGTTGCATGTTATCGCTAATTGGTTGGTGGGAATGAACGCCCCTTGTTTGTGTGTTCACGACGATGTCGTTGGTCGGCTTGGCTTGCCTGTGTGTATACCCGTTGACGCGGCTTCTAGACAAAAAAAACAGAAGGATCAGTCGTGACGGAGTATGCCAGACAGCTCAAACCAGTCCAGTAATTGTTTCCATCTCCCAACCACTTACAAACAGTGCACACGCGTAGTTATTTCTACGCCGTTTGGGTGCTGCGAATGGTTTGTAGCTGTGATGTGCGAGAGCGGCAGGTTGAGGGTTGGGTGGGGTTCTTGGCTTGGCTTTGTTTTTTCGAGAGGGGAGGGGACCGGGGGGGAATGTGTTTCGAAGTGCTTTTTTTTTTCACGCCATTTTTTTGTTCTGTGCTCATTTGCGTGCGGCAAAACAGGTTCGACTGGGCGTGATTCGACATCTCGCCGATTTCTTCCAGGAGATGATTCCACTGCAGAGGGAGAAGCACCTCCACGTGTTGGTTGAGGCGAGTCGGCACATACTCGGCACAGCCACCGTCAATCGTGTGCCCCCCGCCGCCCCGTTTCAATCAGATGTATACGCGTTTCTTTTGTTATGTCTACGTTACGCATGCAGTACCTTGTTTGCAAGCACACATGATGTCACGCACCCATGACTTTCATCGGTGTTCGTTTGTGTTCTCGTACAGCAGTCATTGTGTAGCAGAATTGGTCTGAGATACACTTTCGGTGTGGTTTTGCACTAGGTCCCTTCTGCACCATGATCGTTGTCACGACAAGTAGTGTTACCTTTGTCTGCACGGTCTTCTGCAGCATCAAACTGTATTTGCTGCTTGACAACGAATACGAACAGCATCGCGTCCTTCCCTGTTTCGAATCGACCCATTCCGCAGCATTTTTTTTTTTGTTTTCCTCTGTCGCGTACAGATCCTCCAGACGACGTCGCCCTTCAACTGGCGGTTGCGGGAGGTGCTGGCCCAGCAGCTGCCTCGCCTTGCGCCGTTGCTTACCCCAGACAGCGTTTTCTTCGCCGTTGTGCCTGTGGCGTTTGGGCTTCTCAACGACCCTGTGGCGGTTGTCCGAGAGAAGACCTTCGAGGTGGGGATATTTGGAAAAATGAATACGCACACCCGTTCGAGATAAAACCACAGTCGAACGGGTGGTTTTGGAGTCGCTGCAGTGAGTTGATGTTGTTGGCTTGCTGTTTTGCGTTTGTTGTCGGTGGTGGTGTTTGGGGGTGTTCAATGATGTCCGCTGCTGCCATCGTGGGAGAGTAATATATACTCTATATATATAGAGTATATTTATATATTTTTTACTATTGGTGGTGCTGGTAGTGACGGCATCGTTGTCGACGATAGTGCTGTTGTTGTTGTTGTTGTTGTTGTTGTTGTTGTTGTTGTTGTTGTTGTTGTTGTTATTGTTGTTGTTGTTGTTGTTGTTGTTGTTGCTGTTGTTGTTGTTGTTGTTGGTGTTGTTGTTGTTGTTGCTGTTGTTGCTGCTGTTGTTGTTGTTGTTGTTGTTGTTGTTGTTGGTGTTGTTGTTGTTGTTGTTGTTGTTGTTGTAGTGTACCTTGTTTTAGAGGGAAGAATTAGATGATGCCAGCGTCTTTTTGCGTCCCACGCCTTGCGGCTTCAGTGCCGCCTCGGTGTTTCTATGGTGCTACAAAGTGTCCCATGGCATCTGCCGTGTTTCAAAGCTGCCTTCTTGCGGTGCTCCCATCCAACACTCTGTAATGTCCCACACCGCGCGACCAGTCACGTACCTGAGACAAAACTAGAGGCAATAGCATGATAGAGAACAGGCGCTCACGAAATATTCCTAAAATACCCTAACCTATGTAGTCGCTGTTGGGATAACTACGCATGCCCCACAGAGAGGTAAATCAGAACAGACTCAGAACAGACTTCGGGGCAAAAGAACATATTCTGAAGTGGTGGCGGGGCTCTGCATTGCAACGATGTGCCTACACACAGGTGGTTGCTCCCCTGCTGCAGCTGGCGGGGGCCCACTCGGGCGCACGGCAGGCCTCCATGGTGTCACGAGTCAGGGAGCTGGCTCACGCCCACACCTACCAGGTATGTGCATGCATATGGGCCTCGGTTCCGATTGGTTGCTGAGTCGCTACAGCAGTCTGCTGTAGGGGCCCAGAGACAGAAAAAAGTACAGAAAAATCGGCATCATCCCTTCTTGGCGTGTAGAGGATTTGGTCACCATTTGGTGCACAGAACAGACTACAGGATAAAGACATGAAACAGGAATTGGGTTGAGGCTCTCATGTTATTTGTTTCCTTGCCACCGTCGAGTAGAGGTTGTTATTTTATTACAGAGTTCATTGTAGGATCCGTCGCTGGGCTAGCTGTGTGTGTTTTATTTTATCCCTTTGTTTTGTTGGTGTTTTTGGGGCCTCATTTTCTCCACCCAACATGTCTGAACCACTGTTGGACCTTCTCCAACGTGGTAGCGAAGGGGGGTTGTAGAACGGACGGTACCATGGTGCCAAGTATCCGTTGCAGTGAGTGTGCTTGATTGGCTGCTACAGCCATTGGTCGAGAGGTTTTGAAGGAGAGGCCAAGAGAGAGAAATATGACACAAGATAGCACACCCCCTTGACCAATTTTCGAAGCTCGATTTCTCAACTGCAGGAACAGTCACAGCGCCGAACACGGCGGCGTTGAAACCGTCTCGTTCAAGAGCTTTTCGAAAATGTATCGTTTCGTTTATACATCCTTCTCGTCGTGGAGTAATGGAGCTTTGAAAATCGGTCCAGGGGGTGTGTTATCTTGTGTCATATATGGGCACTTCGCGGGTACAGCGCCCGTAGCTCCGGCGGCTTTCGATGAGCCCACGGTGTTGTCTGTGTTGCGATTTGGACCCTAAAACTTTGTGGACATGCAATGGTTTCGCTACCGCCCCCGCCCCCGCCTTCCACTGCGTCAACACCAACTCAGTGTGACAGGAGTGCCCTTTTGATCGAGGTGACCCACGTTTTAATCCTTTTTTTCTGTCATTTTTTTTTTCTTGTGTCTGATGGGATGGCACAGGCCCGGCAGATGTACGTGTATATCTGCCACAGCATGGCGTGCAGCGCCAATGTCAACCACGAGCGGCCCCTCTTCATTCAGGTACAGCAGTTGCACGTGTTTGCTTGGGTTCCAAATCAACTTTGACAGTGTCAAGGCACTCTTGGTGGGCAAGAGACACGGAGAGATCGATAGACAGACACACAGAAAAAAAAAAATACGAACCTCTACAGTAGTTTTGACCAAGGCCGGGTGCTTGGTGCTTTGGGTGTTATGTGACCGTTATGTTTGATTTGGTGTAGGTTCTTAAAACCTCGCAAAGTGTAAGGGGTGCTTTCCATACCTCACAAAGGTTGCTCATGTTCTAGATTTTGAGGTGTGGAGGCTACATCAGGGTCTTGACTATATTGCCAAGTTCTTGAGTGCGGGGTTTGACTGCTGTACGGCCTGACACACGGACAGGCTACAGTATCCTGTTGCTGTCTCTTGCCCCGGCTTCTTTTTTTCTGTCGTCGTTCTTCCCTGCACCTCTCATGTACTTTGTACTCTTGTTGTGTCTCCTTCGGTGCGCGTCCTTTTTTTTCTGTCAGCACTTCGTGCCCTCCTTTGCTGCACCTCTCATGTACCTTTTTCTGTCACCTTTTTCTTGTCTATCATATTACTATTTGGAGTCCGTGCCCCCCTGGCTGCACCTCTCATGTACCTTGTTTTGTCCCCTTTCTTTTGTCTACTCTATCATATCATATCAGGAGTTCGTGCCCTCCTTAGCTGCACCTCTCATGCACCTTTTTTGTCCGCTTTCTTTCGTCTATTCTTTCATATCGTATCAAGAGCTCGTGCCCTCCCTGGCTGCACCTCTCATGTACCGTTTTTTGTCCCCTTTCTCTCGTCTATCCTATCATATGATATCTTATCAGGAGTTCGTGCCCTCCTTGGCTGAGCTGGCGACGGACAGCGTCGTCAACGTGCGGATCGCCATGTCCCGGACACTGTCCAAGTGCCCAGGTACATGCTGTGCTCGTTTTCGCTTGTCTTGTCTTGATGCCGTAAGGCCTTGCCTTAGTGCCCTGCCTCGTCTTGGTGCCCCCAAAACAGGCCTCGTCTTTGTGCCGCAAAAGAGGCCTTGTCTTTGAGTGAAGGCCTCGTCTCAGTGCCGCAAGAATGGCCTTATCTTATTGCTGCAAAAAAGGCCTTGTCTTTAAGGAAAGGCCTTATTTGGGTGCCGCAAAAACGGCCCTTAGTGCCGCAAGAATGGCCTTATCTTATCGCCGAAAAGATGGCCTCGTCTTAGCGCCGCATGGCCTTAATCGCCAGAGGCATTCTTGCTCGAAATGATGCAAACAATGCCCGCATTATTTTCTGTTGGGGCACATGCAGTGCTGTGGTTTCGCTGCTCTCTTGGCACCGATCGGTGTTAGTCGCTCCCCGGCTCGGGTTCTTGGCGGCAGGGTAGGAAGGGATGAACGTGGGTTTCCGGTAGGAAGGGATGCGGGATCGCGATATATATTCCGTGTCACGTATCATGTGGGCATTGCACTGGCTATTTTGTGATGGTGGGTTTATGCTGTTTTGTCCTGTGAGACAAGAGAGATCTTTCCCCTTTCATCTTGTGTTTCCCGGATTTTGTTGTGTGACCCCCCCCCCCCCCCCTCTATTCGAACATGCAGACTGGGTTATGGAGCTCCCGGATATCCGTAGGGCGATCCACCACCTCGTGAGGGACAGCAATCCGGACGTGCGGCATTTCGTGTCTTTCTTGCCGCCGATACTA